GTCTCCTGTGGGTCTCCTGTGGGTCTCCTGTGGGTCTGTGTGGGTCTCCTGTGGGTCTCCCTTCCCTCTGCACCTGGTGATAAAGTCGTTTGTATAAATGCAGACATGAGATCTGAACTCGTCCATAAGATAAAGTTTCATGTTGCTGTTTGAATGCTATGCTGGTTTACACGTGCGTGTGCATCTCTACCTTTATGTTGAGTCCACCTGTGTTTACCTGTGTTTACCTGTGTTTACCTGTGTTACAGTAACGATAATGCAAAAGAGTATTTCTAATCATTTATTATAAATAATTATGGCTGTTGTTCCTCTCAGGCCTGAGATAAATATATTGCACCTTTCGTTTTTTAGCTGACTTATCGAGAACTTTCATTACAAACGACCTTCTCAGCCATTTCCCTGCATTCATCACCTCAGCCCGTTTGAGGAGCATTAATTGGACTCTAAAGGCAAAACACAAGTATAGTTTTTCCAAAAGTAGGCGACACAAACAGCGATGTGCGAGGCTGCTAAGATTATTGCTGTTGTTAATAATGTATTCATGAAGTAACTAATGAAACCCGCCTCATTTACAAGCAGCGGCGACATGTTTGTGGTGGGAGCTCTCTGTCTCTTTCACGTAACACTTCATCAGAGCTGCTGAAATTAGAGTCGCAGCCGTGGCCTCGCTCCAGTCGTACGCAGGATATAATTACCTCGCTGTGTCTTTGCCTTGTTCCTCATAATTAAACTGCCAATGCCAGCGTGGAAAACATCCGTCACAGCATTATGAAGAAATATGAACTTCTTGTCACTTCACAACATGCATGTGTGTTTACTCGATTTTAATTCTCCGAGCAATTTACTGAGCGGCACCGCGAGCAGTTTACCGTCTACGACTTGGAAACATGGAGATGATGAGTAGGTAACAGGCCGATGCAGGCCCTCGATAAAAATAATGAAAACCATTAAAGCCGTAATATTTAAATTACCACAACGACTGCAGCCTGCCATAAAAATCTATTATAAGAACATGAAGATGGACACTGCAGGAAGCCAGAAGGAAATGATGCTGTGCAGGGAATCGGGATTCGGGAATGGGACTAACACCTGGAAGATCATATGACCGCAATATTGTGGATTTAATGTATTTTAAGTAAATGGTAGTTTCCTGAACTTATACTGATTTTAGGGGTAAAACTGTATTTTAGCGTTATATTAAGGAAAAGGGTCGGAGTCATTGTTGACCATCAGCTGTGTATTTTTACACACTTTGTAGCTGCGCTGATAGTGGTGCAAACGAACTGCTGGGCATCTTTCCTCCATCATGTTCTGTAACACAGGAAACATCCTGACACCAAGATAGCGATGAATAAGCCTGTAATAACAGCCAATCATTAAGCCCGTCAGCCTGTAATAACAGCCAATCATTAAGCCCGTCAG